CTCCCCCCCCCCCCAGCCACTGGCTCTGCACCGGGCTTCCCCCAGGTCTCACCTTGCCAGTTCTGGAGCTGCAGGTCCTGGTGGTGCCCATGGGGCTGGGCTGTGCCCTCCGTCAGGGCTGTGCCCCGCAGCAGCTGCTGGGCGCACCGCAGGCGCTGCTGCTCGCAGGCCAGGTGCAGCGGGGTGTTTCCGTTGCGGTCCTGCAGCCCGGGGTTGACTCCCTTGTGGATCAGCGCCTGGATCACGCTGGGCTGCTCCAGGTACACAGCGAGGTGGAGTGGGGTCTAGAGAGGAGGTGGGGACAGGAATTAGGAAAGGGGGGGATGCCCCGCAGGACACGGAGCGTGATGAGCCATGCCAGCCTACAGGAGCCCGTCTGGTGGCACGGGCAGGCTGCCGCACAGGAGCCCGTCCCTGTGCTGGGTTTATGTGTGGCTCACACTGGGGGGTGCAAACGGCTTGCTGCCCCCCCGCACCTCAGCTCAAGGATCACTCGTGGGAGCAGAACTCACTCTCCCAGGTTATCTACCCTGCCACATTCAAGTCGTGCCTGCTCCACCCTCCGGGGCTGTCTGCAACGTCCTGGGGCCTCGTAAAGGACCCCTTCACCCTGTGGTCACACCTCTCAGAGTATCTCTCACACCCTTCTTCCCTCCCTGAAAAGGGGCTGCTCACATGGGACCTTCTCATGCTCTGGAGAAAGTGGGTGAGGGGTCCTGGAGAAAGGACAGATGATTGGGCATCTATTCAGGGAGCAGCCTGCGGCACCTGCCTTCCTCCCATCTTCTGCCTATCGCATCCGCATACCTGGAAAAGATCATTTTGAATCTCCAGCACCTCCCTGGGCAGCTGAGCAATGCAGCAGAGTGCCACAGCTGGGACGCAGTGGATAATGGCCAGGTGAACCAACCTACAGAGGGTATAAAGGGAATGAGGGAGGAAAAAAAAAAGAAAAATGAGTCTTGAGTGCCATGCTCAGGAACAGAGATCCTCCACTGCTGCATGGAGGAATAACCTCCCTGCCTCCCCAGTCCCCTTCCCTTCCCACCAGCTCGGAGCTCCTCCATCCTGCCCTCTCCCTGGGGAAGCTCAGCAGCAGGGCAAGGCAAGAACATGGCCTGAGGCTCCCCAGGGCAGTCCTTCACTCCGATCCCCACAGGGAAAGGACCCTCCTGTTCCTGCAAAGCACTGCAGGGTCCTCCCTTGGACCTCACAGCATGCGCAGGGCTTGGACCCAGCACTGCCCAAAGCCAGGCCTCCAACTTGGGCAGGTCCGAAGAGCCTGGGATATGTTTCGCAAAGCCCAAGGGCCGGGTTTGGCAGCTGCAGAGGGAGGTCTGGGCTCTGGCAGCTGCCTGGGGAATTCCAGTTCCCCGCTGCCGGCTGCACACCGTACTTCTGCTTTCCCCGCCGCGAAGGCAGGCAGCCAAAGCCTGGCCCAAGCTCCCCTGCACGGCACAGCGCCCGTCCCAGCCGATCTGCTGGCCCACACCGATTTCCTCTTCTCTCCTCCACATCCTTCCCTTTCGGCGCTGCTGCGGCAGGGCTGGCACACAGCCCAATGGCGCAGAGGGACACCGGAGGTGCGGCCATCAGAGCTCGGTGGCCAGCAGGGAGCCCACATCCTGAGGACCATGGCCCCCACGGCCATGGGGTGGCCAGGCAGCCCAGAGTGCCCCAGACCAAGGAGAGGTTTTATTTCCAGCCGGGTCTGATGCTGGCCCCTGGCACAGTCAGAACAGAAGTGAGAGCACGACAGAGGCAGAGCCGAGAGGGAATTTCCAGTACCCTCTGCCGAACTGCTGCGCTCCCGGGTCCCCCTGCGCAGAGGGACTGGCCCCCCGCCACAGGGCAGCTCCCCGGGCCAGCCCCAGCCATGGTGGGCGGGCGCGACGGGCAAGCCGCAGCGAAGAG